GAGCTACAAGCGCCACCCTAACCATTGGTTGTGACAATGTGAAATGCCTGTGGTCTTACTTCCTGTTTCCTGGCATAGATCACCTAAAATCCTTTAAATGTTCCAAGAGACAAGCATCTTTTGTATGCTAATGAATTGGCTAATGGCTGACTGCCTCTGAGTTGCTTCAAGATGGGAAATACAAAGGCAGGATTTGAGGGCTGGGAATTTCAACCTCAGCCCCCAACCTCTGAGGAGTGGAGATAGGCCCAAGTTTAAATTGCAAGGGCCTGTGATTTAATGAATCATGCCTGTATAATAAATCATCTATACAACCCCTTAAGTACAAAATTCAAGGAGCTTCTGGATGGCTGAACACTTGATAGGGTTGAGCAGGTGGTGCATGTGGGGAGGGCATGGAAACTCTGTGCCCTTCCCACATGTCTTTTCCTGTGCATTTCTTCAGTTGTATCCTTTGTAATAAATCTGCAAATGAAAAGAGAACCTCAATTTATAGCCAATAGGCCAGAAGAACAGGTAAAAGATCCTGGGGTTCCCGATTGGCATCAGAAGTTGGGGGAAGTCTATGGGAAGTATGAGGTCTGGCACTATCTCCAGGTATGTTGTGCCAGAATTGAATTAAAAGACATCCACCTGGTGCCTGTACCTGAACTTGCTTGTTGTACAGAAGTCTTCTCTGTCGATTGTTTACAGGAAGTATAGGCAATACTTCATTTGTTTAACCCCAAAAGGTATTAGAGGATATTAATATCTAAATGAAACAGTGCCATTTCACTTTCCCAGCCTATTTAGAAAGTGATCCTTTCTCATAAACATCAGCAACCTCCCACTTCATCATGACCAAAGAATGAATTTTTACACCAGTCACAGAAGGAAATAATTCTATGTCCTTATTGCTTATAGTTTTAGTGTTTTTTTCATGTCTGTTTTGTTCAAGTCTTTAGCTCACACCTCTGGGACACGTTGAGTTTGTATTCTCATGTTGAGTTCATAGATGTTGGGAGAAGTCCCATGTTATTGACAGAATTTTTTTCTGCCGTAGGTCTTTTGTCTCAGAGATTCGAAAATGAACCCAGGGACCACAGAGATAAGTGATAAGATAGGTTTTATCAGATAGAAAGGAATATAAGGAATGAATGCCATCAGAGCCTCTGGCAGAGAGGAAAGACACTAGCAGGTCTTTTTATCTAGGGCAGTGGTTCTCAACCTTCCTAATGCTGCGGCCCTTTAGTACAGTTCCTGTGGGTCACGACCCACAGTTTGAGAACCTCTGATCTAGGGATATCTTGACAATTATATTAAGCCAGGACTTGGCATACTTGAATGAGTATATTAATAAATGAAAGTTGTCCTTCCAGCTCCAGGTCAAAGTTGTGGGAAGTCCACTCCAGAAGAGGCCTACCTTATGTGAAATACTGGAAAGAATACTTTTTTCCTGTCTTGCTTATATTCAGAGTACAGTTTGGAGAAAAAAAAATCTGTTTGCTTAGGCCTAAAGAATGGGGTCCTTGTCCTGCCCTGAATGGGGGGAACCCTGTGTCAATCTGTAGGGTGCAATCACCTGACACTTAATGGCAGTCAGCTGACTGGGGTGTTACGGGGTAGATAACAATCATGTTACCACCTTTATCTCCCTGAATGCTATAGGGTCTTTTGATCACAAGCATGGTGGTGGGACCAATCCCTTGGGTGTGGGTATTCTGGCTTCTGTGCATGTTCCTCTGTGTCTATTATGGCAGCATCTACTTGACATCAGCCCCTTGAAACTCCACAATTAGCATAAGTTTCATAGCCTCATAGCACAATTCAATGTTTTCTCTTCCCTCTTGTATAGAACGTTGATGCTTCTCAGCATTGGTTGTATCTTTAGTGGAATTGAAGGCAAATATAGTGAAAATAAGATGGAGTCTGTCAAACTAGGGCAGATAAGACACCACTGGTCTGTTTGGTGTGTAGGTCCTACCTGACCTTCAACCCCTATCTACCATTACTACTGCTTTGTAAATTTAGCTCCCACCCTGAAGAAGCCTATCTTGAGTAGTTTAGATGGATTGATTTAACAGATTAACTTCTGAATTGGAATATCATTTTGGGTCATGAGTTATGCTGATTATTGTTTACTATGGGTCATGGATTCTGCTGATTATTGTTGAAGATAAAGGTTAACATGGTCTTCACTTTGAACTTAATTGTATAAAGCTGTAATTTTCGAAATGGAAAATCAGAACAGCCTTGGGGAGGCTATTCTCACTTTTCTCCAGAATCCCCAACTTCTGACAAATAAAATTTGGTAGACCTTACCCATCTCTGCATATTTGTGGACAGTGACAGGCCACTGGATTCTATTCATCCAGTAACAGAATAAGTGATCCACCCCATGTTTGTCTCACAACTTGAGTCATAAATAAGGATAGACATCATTGTATGTCATAAGCCACTGATCTTGCCATTTATCACAGCCTCAACTAGGTCACAGTCTTTGCAGCCTAATACCAACATGGCCTTGGTTGATTTTTAGTATACGTACCCTTGGCTGAATTACACCTTGTTCTTTATTGGGTTCCTTCCATAGATGAACCTTTATATTCTTTATAACTATCCCTTTCTTTTTCCAGAACAAGGGAAGACATCAGTTGCCTCATATTGGAAGCACTTTTTTCCAACATCAAACCTTAGCAACCATCAGTGCATCAGTATCTATTTGCATCTTCCCTTTCTTTGTTTTTTTGCCTCAAGCCCCACTTGCCCTAACAGTGGTTGAGCATTTAGTTTCTAACAGTGACCCTGAGCCTAGCCTGAGCCCACAGGGCCATTATTGAACCCAGGCCTGAGAGTCATTATTGCTGTAAGATCCCCTCTGACTGAACACTCACAGTGTTTTGCAATCTGCTTTACAGTTTCACTCATGGAATTATATAGGACATAAACCATCCATGTTCCTGTAGTTTAGCCAGGGGATTAGGAGTGGAAACATGGCTAGTATAGCTATCTCAAATGAGCTCTCAGTGAGAGTTTTTACAGTGGTACAATTCACTTCATCTTTTTAAGAAATCAGACTAGCTAGATGTGTGAAGCCTAGGTATCCAAATGCCTAATTATCTTGTGAAAACTCATGAACTTAGCTTCCAGAGACCTAAAAGAGGCATAATTGATTATATCATGAAAAATGAGTTTTATTCTTACCAACTGGAATTTAAGATATAGACAGTAATCACAGTTTAATGTAAGGGTTAACAGACATACCACACTACATTGCAAAAGGAAGTGCTAGTGTGGTTTGGCTGACTCAGCCCCCGCATGAGAAGGCCAGATGGAGAGACCAGTACTGGTGAGAAAGCTGGATGGAAATACCAGCACAAACAAAAGATCTCTCACACAAGCTACATGTTACAAGCCTTTCCTTATTTAGACATAAAGGCAGAGCACAGCACAGGGCCCCTCCCCTCCTAAGTCCACCCTATAAAAGACCACCGCCAGCTTCAATAAAGAACTACTACTACTACTTCTTTCTTTCCTACTACCTTGGTGTGTAAGTGTGATTCTTTCCTCTCTTTCCTTCTTCTCGATCTTCTCATTACGCGGACTCCCCTTGCGCAGCCGCCGCCCGGCGGCGACAGTTTAAATGTGCTTTACATATTAGGCTGTTTTTCCTGTCAATAATGTGAAATAGCAAGACAGCTTACATTCTATTTTATTATAAAATAGTAAGTTTCTGAGGGGAAAACAATAGCAGGAGAAGGATAGCAAATGTCACCTGTACCAAAACTTAATGTTAATCCTTGTTCCTACCTGTCCACTCTAATTCCCAATCCTATCCTTTTAATTTAAGCTCTCTCATCTGTTTTCTGTTTTCTCTGTTACCTTGTCCTACAATCTGTCATCTTTCCCCTGAGCAACTGTGCCTGCATCCTAACTGATCTTTCTATTTTCACAGTGGATCCATCTCACTTTTCACATCCCAGTGCAAAGCTAATTGTGTCCTCACTTTGCTCATCCAATTGAAATTGATAATTGACATTGTTAATTTCTTCTTGCTCTTTGGAAAAAGTCTCTAAAATTATTTCCTTTGGGAACTGTCAAATTTACTGTCCCAGGACTAGCAGCTTTTAACACACCAGTCACACTGGCAATTTATAACTCATGGAAGATGCTGCATATTCACATATGCAATATCTTCTACCTAACACATTTATCTTCTTTTTCATATTTTATTCATATTCTTCAGAGGTCAGTTAGAAGGTTACATTTTCAAGTTGTAATTCTTGGGACCCTCTGCTTGCTTGCTTCATTATTTGATTTTCGACAGCATATACATCTCTCTATTGCGTTTGTCACATCTGCTCTTTCATATATATGAAAGTTCATAGTGGGTTAAACCATACGTTCATCTTTGTGTTTGGATTTTGGTTTGGTTACTAACATATAATCCACCATCAGTGATAATTTGTCAAATGATCTCTTCTATATTTTGAAGCATCTCTTCTAAGACTTCTAATATATCCATTTCATATGTGTTTATATTTTTTAGGTCTCTCACATGTGTGTACTATGAGTATATCTACATCCTCTCCCTCCCTGCCATCCATATGCATATACATCTTTAGGCTCCTATGAATGTCCTTTGTAAATTTCCAGGACAAGTCTCCTCAAAATCCCCCAGCTGATTAGGATTACTCTAGCTGGACATCACCATTTATCTAAGGATTCATTTAGTTTATTTAGTTACTTCTATTGTCTTTGATTGACTTTGTAGGGTAAAAGAAAACCTCACAGATAAGGATGAAATTTGTCATTTGACATGAACTGCTTGAAATTACTACAAAAAAGCTTTTTTTTACCAGGTCACCAAACCTCTTTCCTTCTTTCTCTCCTACATTTTTGTAATCTTTTAAGATTTTTATCTTGGCCTAGTTTTTATTTCTGCATAATCAGTATCCTTTGTATTCTTACTTTTCTTACCCAGTCTGTCCCTTTTTAACTTTCCCAATCCTGCAGGGGGCTCTGTGAGCAACAGGTACCTCTGCAGTCAGCATAAGCAGGATCAAGGGATCAGCTGCTATGGATTCAGAACTCCTGCTGAATATGAAGGAGGAGGTGACCTGCCCCATCTGCCTGGAACTCCTTATAGAGCCCCTGAGCCTAGACTGTGGCCACAGCTTCTGCCAAGCCTGCATCTCTGAAAACCAAAAGAAGTCCACGATAGACCAAGAAGGGCAGAGCAGCTGTCCTGTGTGCCGAATCACTTACCAGCTTGAGAACCTGTGTCCCAATCGACCTCTGGCCAACGTAGTGGAGAGGCTCAGGGAGGTCAAGTTAAACCAAGAAGAGGGGCAGAAGGTAGATCACTGTGAGCAGCATGGAGAGAAATTACTGCTCTTCTGTGAGGAGGATGGGGAGGTCATTTGCTGGCTTTGTGAGCACTCTCAGAAGCACCGTGGTCACTGCACACTCCTCCTGGAGGAGGCTGCCCAGGAGTGCCAAGTAGGAGACCAGAATGGAGGGAAGACAGGGAAGAAAATGGTACCAAGTTAGAAACTTTCACTTTGCAGTTTACTTTATTTATTTATTTGTTTGTTTGTTGCAGTTTTTGGCTGAGGTGGGGTTTGAACCTGCCACTTCTGGTATATGGCTCCAGTGCCCTACTCCTTGAGCCACAGGTGCCACCCTGCATTTTACTTTAATTACATTGTCATCATAAATCCAAGGCTTCTGGTTTTTCTCAATCCTATATTTATCTTCTGAGCCCTGGACCTGAAGAACACTTTTATGCACTTCATGCAGCAGTACGAGGATAAGCCTAGAGTACATACTCTCAGAAAGAAGTAAATATTTCTGTACTTTGAGCCATATGGGTAGAGATTTGGTACCAAAGGAAAGCTCTGGTCACTCCTGTCAGCAAGAGAGCAACTGGGGTGAACTGAGATACAAGTTCTCTCCTTGTTGTAGATCGAGTTTTTCTTCTAGGAGAAAAAGAATACATCTAATCTTGGTGTGGGTGATGGTGATTTCAGTTACCTAAGACTTAAGGAACACATTCATCATGTTGGGTTTTCTTCCAAGTTATGAATTCTAATTGCTTTTCTGAGAGCGTCTATAAACTCTAGTCTCTTCTGCAATCACTCTGATTTCTTTTTTATGTTCTATCCAAGTGTTAAGAAAGCTCAGAACTTAATTCTGGTGTAATTTATTTCTCACAGAAGGGGCTCCAGAGAGTTCTGGAGCAGCTGAGGAAGCACCAGCAGGAAGTTGAGCAGGTAGAAGCTTACATCAGCAAAGAGAGAACTTTCTGGAAGGTAAGAGGAGCCACTTCCTGAGGGAATTATCCAGAAACCTGGGCAGGATCTTGGTTAGAAGCTCCCTCCCTTTTTCGTTCCCTGATAGTTGATAACTCTAGTAATCATGTGATTAGTCCTCTTCTTTATCCATTCCCATATGAGGGCTCCGGGGTAGAGATTGAATATGTTACAAATGAACACAGCTCTTTTGAGGAAGCTGTTACATGGAGGGAGTCTCTGGTGGGGATGGCTTGTGAATTTTGAGTTCCATTCTTATGATGCTTTTTGAATCTATGGCTGTCCTGGGGGAAGACTTTGCCAGTGGTTCATAGTTTTGCCTTCAGCGTTCATGGGTAAGGTGAACAGTAGTGCAAGTAGGCGTTGGTGTCTTGGATAAATCTGTGATGGCTAAGCCAACACCAGGCATCCCATTTTGGTTTAAGTGGGCCTCCACATGCCAATTTAAGGGTTTTAAAATGTTAAGAAGGGAAAATATTTTTAAAAATCTGAGCTTGTCTAAGAATTGCTTTCCTACTTCTGTTTCCCTTCCTTGTGAGAACTTCCCAGAGAAGTGATTCTTTTCCTGGTGCATAGCCTCTGCCTCATACACTGAATGCCTCTCTTTTCTTTCTCATCCCTGAAGGATCAAATACAGTCTGACAGAGAAAACATCCAGGCAAAGTTTGGCGAACTGAGAGACTTTCTGGCATCTGAGGAGAACAAGAAACTGCAAATTCTTGATGAAGAGGAAAAAGATATTCTCAATAGTCTAGCTGAGGCTAAGAATGAGCTGGACCAGCACCATGTGGTGGTAAGAATGTTCATCTCTGATGTGGAGTATTGGTTGCAGGCCCCAGCAATAGAGATGCTACAGGTAAGACTTGAAGAGAATCCTCAGTATCTGAGATGCAGGAAAGTGAAGACTGTTTCCTTCTCTGTGATTCTGTGCTGTCTCTAGTGCTGACACTAAAGTTTTCTGGACACTGTGGTACCCTTTTCCTGAACCAATATCAGAGGTTATAGGAATAATTGAATGCATAAGGGAAAATCCTTAGCCAGGGAAAATCCTATTTTTAACATATCAAAAGCAGTACAAAAATTTGCCCTTGGCGAGATCAGTTGTATCCATTGATATTTTCTGGCCCCTGTTCTCTGTAATCACCAGCATCTCAGACAGCTTTTCATTGTCCAGCTTAGTCAAGCCAAAGCATTTCAGATTACAAGAGCTGTTTTTGTTTTTTCCCCTCATAGAATGTGCTAAGAAGTTACCTCTATTTATTTTCTGAAAAATATTTGAAAAAGACTGGTATTATTTCTTCTTTAAGTATTAAATAGAATTTATCAGTAAAACTACCTCAGTATTTCTTATTTTCTTTCTTTTTTCTTTTTTTTTTTCTTGATTCTCACTGTGTCACCCTGGGTAGAGTGCGGTGGCATCACAGCTCACAGCAACTTCAAACACTTAGGCTTAAGTGATTTTCTTACCTCAGCCTCCCAAGAAGCTGGGACTACAGGCACCTGCCACAATGCCCAGCTATTTTTTTGCTGTTGTTGTCATTGTTGTTAGTAGGCCCAGGCAGGGTTCGAATCCGCCAGCCCCAGTGTGTGTGGCTGGCACCCTAGCCACTGAGCTATAAGCACTAAGCCAGTATTTCTTACTTTCAAGAAAGATATCAAATTTTTAACTTTTTACATGCTTTTTGTTTATTGAGACTTTTAATCCTTCTTGAGTGTCTCCTTGATAATGCATATCTCCATAGGATTCTTCATTTCACTTAATTTATAGTCTTTAAGGAAGTCTTAAGACTTCTTTGTAGTCTCCTTAATTTTTATTTTTTTAATTTTAAACTTACTGATTTAAATTGGCACACTATTGTATTGTTTGCAACACATGGTTTTAAAATATGTACACATTATGGAATGGCTACATCAAATTAATTAGCATAGTCATTACCTCACATAGTTTTCTTTCTGTGTGAGAACATTTAAAATCTACTCTTTACAATTTTCAAGAATGTGATACATCAGACACTGTTAACTGCCATGTTGTGCAATAGATATCTTGAGGATATTCCTCCTTTCTATCCAAAGTTGGTATCCTTTGACCAATACCTGTCCTGTCACTGAACTGTGCTGCAGTATCCTTTTCCTGAACCAATATCAGAGATTATAGGAATAATTGAATGTGTAAATAGCAAGGGAAAATCCTATTTCTATTACTTTAACAATAGCATTTTTTCATATACCTATTGACTGTTTTCTTTCTTTTCAGAAATGTCTGAATGAAGGATGAGGGATCGAGAGAGGGGAGGTGGGAGGAGAGTAGAGGGAGTCATGGTGTCTGGCACACCTCTTGCGGGTGGGACTTTGCCTAACAAATGCAGTCAGTGTAACCTAATTTTTTGTACTCAAACAATAAAAGAAAAATCTAAAATAAATAGAACGAGAAATAATAAAGAGCAAAAACACACATATACACAAAGAAGAAATTTCTATTCCATTCCTTTGCCTATTTTTATATTGGGATATTTGTTTTTCTGCTATTCAGTTGTGTGAATTCTTTAGGTAGAAAAACAAATATTCCAATATAAAATAATGTGTGTGTATATATATATATATATATTTGTTTGTTTGTTTCATTTTGAGACAGAGTGTCATTTGGTTGCCTAGGCTAGAGTGCCTTGGTATCAGCCTAGTTCACAGCAACCTCAGTTTACTGGGTTCAGGTAGTCCTCCTGCCTTCATCTCCCAAGTAGCAGGGAATACAGATCCTGCCATAATGCCCAGCTAATTTTTCTACTTTTAGTAGAGACAGGGTCTTGCTCTTGCTCAGGCCAGCCTCAAACTCTTGACCTAAAGTGATTCTCCCACCTTGGCCTCCCAGAGTGTGAAGATTACAGGCAAGGAGCCAGGCCTCCGTCTATATTTTGGATATTAAACCTGATTATCAGATATGGCTTCCAAATATTTTTCTCCAACTCATATGCTGCCTTTTCATTATGTTGATTGCTACTTGGCTGTGCAAAAACTTTTTAACTTGATACAATCCTATTTAGTTGTTTTTGCTGCTTGTACTTTTGGGTTTTCAGTCAAAAACATCATTGCCTATACCAATATCCAGGGATGTTCCCCTAGGTTTTCCTCTAGTAGTTTTACTGTTTCACATCTTATATTTAAGTATTTAATCCACTTTGAGTTGATTTTTTTTATATGGATTAAATAAGGATCTAATTTCATTCTTCTGCATGTGGATATTCAGTTGTGCAAACACAATTTATTGAAGAGACTGTCCTTTCCCCACTGCATTTTCTTGACACTTTTGTCAAAAATGATGTAACCATAAATACGTAGATTTTTTGGTCTGAACTTCTCTTTTGTTCCATTGGTCTTGTGTCTGTTTATAATGCTGGTACCATGGTGTTTGTATTAATGTAGTTTTGTAGTAGATTTTGAAGTCAAGTATTGTAATGCCTCCACTTTTGTTTTTATTTCTTTCATTCTTAATGAAGATTGCTTTGGTGATTCAGGTCCCCATGGACATATTGAGTATGTATTGTGGTCCTATAAAAATTTTAGGATTGTTGTATCTATTTCTGTTTAAAATGTATGAACAGAAGTTGCATGGAATCTGTAGATCACTTTGGGTGGCATTCAACAATAATCATTCTTCCAACCTGTGAACACAGGTTATTTTTCTCATTTGTATGTATCCTCTTCAATTGATTTCATCAATGCTTTATAATTTTCAGAGTACAGGTCTTCCACCTCCTTGGTAAAATTTACTCCTAAGTATGTTAACATTTTGTAGCTATTGTAAATGGAATTGATTTCTTAATTTCTTTTCAGATAATGTGGTGTTAGTACACGTAAATGGTAATGATTTTTATATTTTGATGTTATATCCTGCAACAGTTGGAATTTGTTACTTAGTTCTAAGAGATCTGGTCATGTTTTAGGAATTGCTATCTGTGAGATTATACTATCTGTAAATAGGGCAATTTAACTTCTTTATACCAATTTGAGAGCTTTTTATTTCTTTCACTTACATAATTGCTCTGGCTAGTACTTTTTCAGTGCTATGTTGAATAGAAGCCATAACAGGGAACCTTTGAGTCTTTATCCTCATCTTAAAGGAAAAGCTTTCAACTTCTTATATTTTGATGTTAGGATGTTAGTATGATGTAAGCCAAGGGTTCGTCATATATGGCCTCTATTGTGTTTAGATATATTCCTTGTATAGGCAATTTGTAAGAGTTTTTATTTTATTATAAAAATATGTTAAATTTTGTTAAATGTACTTTCTCCATTTTTTTGAGATGGTCCTACGATCTTTGTCCGTTGTTCAGTCAATGCAGTGTATCAGTGCTGCTGTGTCACGCTGGCACCACACCCAAGAATCATCTGGTACATGGACTGATGAATGTCCAAGCTTGCAAGAGGTGAGGCTCCCCATAGGTGTCAGAGAGCCGAGCCACAGAGTAAACTCTGTCGTGGCTGCAGGAACCCCTGAGCTACCTCTGTAGCAGCTATTTATTGAAACACTATACAACAGGTTTGGGGCGGCCTCTATAGAAGGACCACATGCTCAAGGGCTTGTCATCAGGTCACAAAACTGCTCCATCCCCGCCAGGAGATTGTCCTCCAGCTCCCAGCATTTCCCTCAAGAACCCGGGACCATTCCCATAAGCAGTCTACTACACAGTGCGTCACATTTATAGATTTGCAAATAATGAATCATCTTGTATTCTTGGAATAAATCTCACTTTATCATGGTGAATGATTCTTTCAATATGCCATTTAATTTGGTTTTCTAATATTTTATTGATAATTTTCACATCTATGTTCATCAGAGATGTTGACCTGTAATTTTTCTTTTATTGAGCATTCTTGTCTGACTTCATTATCAGGGTAATGGCAGCCCCATAAAATGAGTTTAGAAGTATCCCCTTTCTTTAACTTTTTGTAAGAGTTTGAGAAAGATTGATGTTCATTCTTTGGTAAAATTCAGCCATGAAGCTAGCAGGTCCCAGACATTTCTTTATTGGGAGACTTTCTGTTGCTAATTTAATCTCTTTATTATTTGTCTGTTCAGGTTTTCTAGTTCTTCATCATTCAGTGGTAGGTTGTATGTATCTAAGACTGTCTCTAGAACCATTTTTTCTAGGTTATCCAATATATTGGTATATAATGTTTTATAGAATTTCTTAGGATTGTTTATGTGTCTGTAGTATCAATTGGAATGTCATTTTATTTCTGATTTTATTTGTTTGAGTCTTCCTATTGCTAATTTAGCTAAAGGTTTGTCAATTTTGCTTATCTTTTTAAAAAAAAAACTTAGTTTTATTGATCTCTTCTGTCACTTTCTAGTTGATTTCATTTATTTCTATTCTGATCTTTATTATTTTCTTTCTTCTTCTAACATTGAGTTCAGTTTCTGTTTGTTTCTCCAAGTTCTTAAAGTGTACCATTAAGTTGCTTATTGAGTATCTTTTTTATTTTTTGATGTTGGCATTTATTTATATAAAATTTCTTAATAGAATTGCTATGTTGCATCCCATATGTTTTGTATATTGTGTTCCATTACATTTAGTTGAGGATGCTTTTAAACATGACTTTTAATTTCTTCATTGACCCATTAGTTATTCAAGAGCATTTTGTCTAACTTCCAAGTACGTGTGCCTGAAATTCATCTTGTTACTGCTTTCTACTTTCATATTGTTATGGTTAGAGAAGATACTTGACATGATTTCAATACTTGAAATACTTATTAATACTTGGCTTGCGGCCTAACAGATGATGTCTCCTAGAGAATATTTATGTGCACTGAAAGTGAATGTTTATTTTGTTGCTGTTGGATAGAATGTTCTGTATATG